GAAACACCCCTATTTCTGCAGTGGACTCGTCGAGATCCACACTAGCAATTTCGCAAGATGGCGGAAAGCGGGGGAGAGGAAGACCTTCCTAGTCCCGATCAAGTCTCTACAAAACCTCGGGTCGTGACCATCTACAAAACAGACACAGGCTTCGGTTTCAACGTCCGGGGGCAGGTTAGCGAAGGAGGCCAGTTACGGAGCATCAACGGGCAGCTGTACGCGCCGCTACAACATGTTTCCGCCGTGCTGGAGGGAGGAGCGGCCCACAAGGCCGGCATCCAGAGAGGGGATAGGATCCTTGAAGTGTGAGTAAACTTCAGTCTTGATAAAAAGATGAAAACAAAAAAAAAAAATGTTGCCGCCAATGCTTTGATAGTCCTTTACTCCTGGCATATAACTTATACGCCAGTCAGTACAGTATAGTCACTCGTTTTTGGCCTTTGTATTATGTTCGAAGTGTTTATGCTGTAAAATAAATGTAACTTCGAATGATATCTGTGTCCCATAATTTGAGTTTGTATATGGTTATGGTCTTTTTAGTACACTGGGAAAAGGTATGAAAGAAGAGAAACAAAATAATTGTAGTCAGTCATATTCATTTCTGACTGGTCTGAGGTACTTGCTGCATACACTAAACCCAGTGCTGCCTGCCCAAGTGTATAATTTTGTTATGTACATAAAGATCAAAGGTCACTCAGCATGTAGAGAAATGTAGTTTTCAGCCAGGATATGATTCACTGACCTCCCCCATGGCAGGCACGAGGTGTGGGGATGAGAAGCCAACTGTGTGTTAACACCATTATGTCAAGCCACCCATGTCTAATAATTTCAAGTTCATGGGCAACAAGATGCATGGTCACGTCCTGCCAGTTGTACTGTAGTCACCACCAGTGTGATAAAAACAGGCCCACGATAAGACGGTGTGATCATTGTAATTGAAACATTATGTGTGTAGACAGTAGGTCTGGCGATGTGTAGGAACTTTTAACCTGGTTTTCCCATGGTTATTGAGGGCACTAAATTATGATGATATGGAAGTTGTGTTCTGCATTACTGTGTGTGTAATAATTGAATTTACTGCTCATGCTATTTGTACCAATGCATCTTGTACGCTATACATGTAATTGTATGTCCATGTTACTCAGTGATATTGTCACATTAATTAATCAATTACTGATGTTTTTTTTTATATTGTCTACATTTTCTGCTGATTTAGTATTAGTGTACGTAGAGTGTACCTGTTTGGAAGCTTCATCTGTGTTCATGCTGTAGTATTGTAAACAGGTCCTGATAGCAAGCTGGTTTTGCAGAAAGGGTTGTAGAATATACATGTAATATAAAAGTACTGGGTTTCAATCTCTAGCAGGCCCCAATGTTTTGCCCATGATAAAGGCACTTCACACCTACCTGTATTTTTCCAAGGTGAAAATGAGAACAGTAAATACGAGTATACCTAAGCTTTGGTTAGGGATGTCCTCTCAGATGAGATGAAGGGAACACGCTAACAGATATCGATTTCTGTTTCTTCAGTGTTTATTAATGGCATTCCTACTAAGGTAAAATTGGGAACACCTACGAGTAGGCACATATTGCATAGGTACCTCCAGGTCCTGTCTGATTGATGCATTCAGTTTGTACAAATGGAAAGCAGGATGTCTTTTCACTGCAGTCTCTCACTCAAGGGCAGACACCTCCTGAAATTATTTCGTGTCTCAGTTATGGTGTTGGCAACAGAAGGTCAGGCGTGTTAGGACTGAAATACCACTTACTGCATCGCAAAATAGCAATATCGAAAGATGTGATCATTTTTGGATGCGGGAGAGAGTATCACATGAGATGCATCAATGGTCATGTAAGGTTTCATTTGGCTGTGTACTGACCAGCATTTCCCCAGTGTGTTTCAACACTATAGTTACAGTAATTACAATTTACAGTAGGTCTCATGAATACACATAGCTTTGTACTACCACCGAAGACATTAAAATTCAGTGGTGAGAGGTATTTTTCAGCTGTATGTGTGTATATTTGCATGTACACATTGTGTCATATTTATCATTGCTTTAAGTCATCACGTTACAGCTGCTGACAGCAGAAATATACATTGGGATGGGAAGCATCCTTGATCTATAGTTAGGACCTGTATGTTATATAACATGCTGACCTTCCACCAGAATGTGTTGCAACCTAGAATACCAATTTTTGCTACCTCCATCAAATTCTGTATGCAACAAATGTCAGCCACAATGCACTGTAACAGTATTACTTACATTGTATACGTACATTGTGCTATATATACCACACACCCAATGTTGACAATGGCTAGTACTGGTGCCACACTGTGCAATTAGGCATGTGCCAAAACCCTGTTATCTCTGCCAAGGTTATTACATGTTCAGTGGCATTACAGGAAGTTCATTTGTTACTTACGCCAGGGTATGTTAGGTTTAAAGAGTTAATGATTGGAACGTGACGTCAGTGGATACAAATTGGCTTTAGCAAAACAATCACTATGGGCTCCTATGGGGAAAGCATTCAATACCATTATTTCATAGTTTGAAGCTGGTATTGTTGCCTCTTTATCAATTGAGGTATACCACTCAATTACTTACTCAACCAATCGGCCAGAAATATATTTTTACATGTCAAATCAGCCAGAATCCTGACTGAGAATATGTTATTGCTAGTAGTCAATGTCACCAAGCATGTCCAGTATAGATCTCAACTGATCTGAAATATTTCCATTTCAAATTCGTACAAAAGCAGGTTGATTTCTGTTTTTTTATGTCATCTTCATAAGAAATATTAATCTTAGCATAAATAGTCCTTTGGTCCCTTCCATATGTTTGAAGCTGCTTAAAGCACAAAGGAATCAAAAGAATTAAAAAAATCTTTAATGTCTGGGCATCATTTGGATTTTCTGTGATCTAAACTACCAAGCCAGAGGGATTTTATGTACAAACATTGTAGTAACCTTTCATCTACCTTCCTCAGGTTTTAATGAAAATTACTACTCCTTGACACATTATCATATGGCAGCCAGGAAATCTTTACTGCATCTTGATGGTACACTTGTAACAAGGTTTTGTGTCTCAAAGGTTAAAACCACAAAGGTCTCTAGCAGGCTTTTAGCTAGGATTTTCTTGGTGGGCGTCCATTTTTTTTTATTGTATGCTATCACAGTGAAGACATGCTGAGTGCAAGATTTTAGGGGGGCTTTTTTTTAATTCATAATGCTCTCAAACACTACTTTCTGCATTTTCAGGTGTAAATTTGAGTTTTTTCCTTCAGTAAACCATCATTTTTGTATTTATAGTAAGGCTGAAGGGAGGCATGTGTGCATGGCAAGGGTTGGGAGTGGAAAAAATAGGGCGTCTTTAGGGTGTCCTACAAAAAAGTAGGGCGTCCAATTTCTCATTGTTTTCAGTACAGGGCGTCCAAAAGACACCCCCTAGCTAAAAGCCTGGTCTCTAGTCTAAATGAGGGACAAATGCTGGTGATTAGGGAAAAGTCAATGTTGTCATTTTCATTTTCTCTACTCTAAAAGCACAAAGCATGCAATTTCATGGAAGTTTTAGTAAAATTAGGAGAGACACCCTACGTCTGTTCTTATTTCTGACTTATGGCCTCTCATTTGAATGTAGTTTTAACACCCATAAGACCTACATCCTTCCAATTTTCATGAATAACCTGTCCTGGTTTTTGATGGAAGAACAAATTAATAGCCCGTAACAATTGTAGGGTGCTGCTAAGGTATCGATCCGGATTACTTGTTGATTTGATAGTTGTAGTGCTGGATCTGTGTACATGTATGACTGAAATCAATAGCTGCATATAATCAATAATTGCTCATTGGAACAGTGACCAGGGGTTTTTCTGAACAGGGGAACAGGGGCGCAGCGCCCTCATGTAACAAACCAGCGCCCTCATATCAATTTTCAGATTGAAGCCTAAGTCTTTTTCAAAATCATCTTTTTCCAGTAAAAATACAAAAACAACACCACATAACAATATATTCTAGCATTACAAACTATGTTACTCTCATAAAAATTCCAAAATCTTACCACAAACTTGAAAATTTAGCTCTAGTAGTAAAAGTTTGAATGGAAGAAACAATGTTCATTGAGAACTTGCTAAAAGACATGTAGCTAGGCCTCCTTCATTTGCATACTATAGAACAGGCTCTGAAGTGAAACATAACACCTGAGTTTGTAGCAGCTTGGATGAATGTGTTGCAATTGTGCCATGGGAAAGGTTTCAGCTTGTGGCAAACCCAATGTTGTCATCTGGAGCTACTAGTAACATTGATCACTAATTATGTGTGTAAGTGTATAAAGGGTGATTTGCAGATTGTGTGTACTGTTGGTTGTACTTATATTTTATAAGTGAAATATGCAATGCATGAATAGAAATTTGGAAAAGGTACATTGAGGTTAAGAGTTCAAATTTCCCCCCTCAAGTAGCCTCAAAATGTCCCATTTCAACTTCAAATTTTCAAAGGCTTCACATGGCGGAAGGGGGGATACCCCCCTTCCGCACCAACCCCCCCTCGGTCGCTTCGCTCCCTCGCCGTGATACTGCTCCCTCATGCCAATTTTTTCTAGAAAAACCCCTGAGTGACGATACGTTGATGGAAACGTCGTGGCTAGTTTTTTTATCTGTAATTTCTTCAACTTGAGACCAAGCTTATATCTCACAGGTTTGGATATTCAGCATTTTGGTAGGAAGACAAAGTGGGGTTGTGTGGCTTAATGGCAAAGCATTTGACTCGGAACGAAGAGGTCCCGTGTTCTAATCTTGCCAAGTCACCAACCATGTGCCATTGGGAAAGGCAACTTTCCTCATTCACTCAGGTAAAAATGAGTATGCCAGATTGATCATCATCATTTAAGGAAAAAAACAAATAAACAAACAAACATTTTTTTCCACAGAAATAAGGAGAACGTGGAAGGTGCCACTCACAAAAGAGTAGTGGACCTGATCAAGTCGGGAGGCGATGCTCTCACGTTAAAGGTCGTCTCGGTGTCCAGAAAGGAAGCGGCTCGGCTGGACTCCCAGGGCGACGACAACTCCGCCTCCTACGCCTGTGTAGACTACAGCGAGAAGAGGGCCCTCCCCATCTCCATACCGGACTACAGAACACTGGAAACTTCTGCCGAGAAATTTGTGGTAAGTTTATCCACTACGATGGCCATACTTTTAACGACACAAGATTGTCCAATACTAGATGTCCATTTTTCACTGATTTTCCAATACTTGAATGCAGTCAGTCTTTGAAGATCAATGTAGTTTAATTCTGTGGTCAAAAAAAGTAGACCTTTTTACTGCTTACTCATACTAGTTCATTTAGAATGTCAATACCTATTAGGTAGATGGAAAATCAAACATCTTTTGACCTGTTACCAAAAATGGAGTTTAGAAAGCATCATTACATGACGAGTATCATGGCGGCATGAGTTTAAAGATGTGCATCAGAAATCGGCTCTGACGGAGCAATGTGTGATTAGTGGTTCATGCATATGAAATTCTAATCAATAATTGGTCTGACAAAGCTTTTTTTTTTAAAGTTTTTGTTCTTTTCAAGAATTAGATCTGAAGATGTATTACATATTCTGAAGTGGTATTACCTACCGGTACATCTAAGCACTTTGCAGACATGTTATGTGGATTTATATTACATATTATGTTATAATATGTACATGTATGTATACGTTTAGATGTCACAAGGTCAGAGCTATACTGGCACAATGTCTATATGTCTGTATCAACTGAGATGTGAGAATGCTGATAACATTCCTGTAAGGTAGAGTCCATTCCGCGTCACCGAGCGGGTTTTTTCTCCATGTTTCTAATACGTTTGAATTATTTAGAAGAAAAGAATACCCCAGTAACAAAAGTTCTAAATTTTTCAAAAATTTGAAAATAAAAATTTGAATATATTTGAATTCATTTATATATTTCTGAAACATTTTGAATGTGACTGTCCAAAGATCTCTTTCTTTAGAATAAATTTGAACTACCCATGTGTTTCTTTCACAATTCGAAATATTTAGAACTATTTCAAACAAATAATCAAATGGTAGATGTGGGTAATTGCCCCCATAAAAGTAGGTGCTAATCCTACTCTTCTGTATTCTTCTGTATATTTTTAGATTTCACTGCTGGACACTGGTGGCTCTTTTGTTGTAAGGCATCAATGCCTGACACCCAGGCAGTCTACCTTGTACTTCACAGGGATGTGTGAATTACTTCCTTCCCATCCCACTGACCTATTTACAAAATGTTAGAAATAATTCGAAATAATGGTAAAAAATGGTAGAGTGCTGTTAGAAATATTTAGAAACTATTGGAAATGTCACAATCCACATCAGGAATATTTCAAACGTTTTAGAAAACCAGGGAATTATTTAGAATATTGACAAGATGTTCAAAATATTTCCAAATTATGAAATTTCTTAGACAAACAATTACAAAGAATTCAAAACATTTCTAAATAATGACAATAACAACCCACACGGTGACGCGGAATTGACTCTAGATAACAAGACTTTTCCACACATCTAGAAGGAAAATTGCCTGCCAACATTTTATCCCCTTCAGTCATCAACCAGTGTGGAGCTAAATGTCACGACATTTTCATGGTGTTCAAAATTTCAAAATCGATATTAACCTTCACCATGTAGCTTAACCCTTTAACCAGTACAAATTTTGTGCCGACATGCTGTCTCAGTTAGAAAAAGGTTAAAAGGTTATTCAGCTGATCAAGTTCAATAATAGTATCATGCAGACTAGTCAATTTGGAAGCAAAGACATTTTTCGTCACCAAGGATACTTACCTGTATGTCAAGAAAATTTGGATATTTCCATATTGATCATGGCACTGCATCCACAAAGTTTTTAGGTTTTCTACGGAATGAGTAAGATATACATCTGATTCAGTAAGACTAAAATATGCCAGGTTTAGCAGTACCACCCATACTGACTCTAAGTCTAAGATAAGCAGTTACGTCTTCTGTCCTATCTATCTATCTATCTATCTATCTATCTATCTATCTAATCTACACTTCCCATTTCTACCATACTGACTTTGAGATGCTGGGATGAATGTATCATCAGGTAGACTCCATCCATGCAGAACAATCTCATTTACTACAGTACAGGTTGAGTCAATCATCCACCAGAGCCAATCCTCTGTCATCTCCTGTGTACACACATCTCCTGTCTGCCAAATCTTCTGCCAATTTAACTCCTGTAAGACTGTTAGCACCAGGAGCTTGCTTGGAAAATGTCCAAGCAATTTCAGTTACCTGGTATGCTGCCCTGTTGATGTAATTTACAGGCTTGTTCATGCTTGGGAATATGTCAAGAACGATGGTCTAAGATGGGCTTTTGCTTAATAATTTAATTTGATAGTCTTCTTTTGATAAATCTGAAGTTCTTGTCTGAATATTATTGTCTTGTACTGCATTTTGATTGTTGCGAACTGTACATATGTTGTTAATATTTGTAAATATGTAATTTATATGTCTGTGGGGGAGACAACGTGAAGAGTGAGCAATCATCTGTTTTGTCTCCCGCTCCATCTTGTTACGGAAAAGCCTAATAAAGAATAAAGAGACTCTTTTTTTTCATTACGCAGCCCAGTGTTTTATTCAGCTGATGGTTTGGTGACCGTCTTGTCACCTTCCTCAGGGCAATTCTGACTGGTTCACATTGCACAGCACAGGTGTCTGCTACCATAAATGCATTCCCAAATGCACAGGAATGGTATCTACGATGGGAACACATCTATAGCAGCACCACCTGTGCTGTGCCATGTGAACCAGTCAGAATTGCCCTGAGGAAGGTGACAGATGGTCACCGAAACGACTTGGCTGAGTAAAACACTCGGTTGTCTAAAAAGCAAGAGTCTCTTTATTCAGTGACTCACCAACTTGATGAAACTATTCACAGATGAAGTCCTTATTGCTTTTTTCCATGTGTAAATTTGTGGTGAGCTCCCTTTTTATGTTGGAATTAAGTTCAAACTCTACAACTATGGACTCTACCAACACAGATGAGCTTTCATTCAGATGAAGTTGTTGTTGTATTTCCCAGGTGTACAATATCTACATGGCAGGGAGGCAGCTGTGTGCCAGGAGGTACCGGGAGTTCTCCAACCTCCATCAGACCCTCAAGAGGGAGTTCCCAGAGTTCCCCTTCCCCAAGATGCCGGGGAAGTGGCCGTTCACGCTGTCCGAGCAGCAGCTGGACGGGCGGCGGCGTGGGCTGGAACAGTACCTAGAGAAGGTCTGCTCCATCCGAGTCATCGCTGAGAGCGACGTCATGCAGGAGTTCCTGGCAGACATCACAGAAAAAGACGTAAGTAACCAGGTTTACCAGCATAACATCTGTCCAAAATCTAGTATTGCTGTTTCAGGAAAGTGATTGATTGATAGATAGACAGTCTCTTCTTTGACTAGAAATGCTAGGTTGCGTACTTGATCCTCTAATGATATCATTGTTACTATTCAGTGTTGCTGATACAATATAATGATGGTAATGTGTCCATGACTTCTCAAAATGGCAGAGATGGGTAAAAACTGTGAAACTCTCAGTTACGCATTCAAATACAAAAGGCGTACCTGTACTTCTTGAAAAGGTTTTAAAGATGCTGATCTGTTTCTTGTGCCAGTCAATGGGTCTTGAAACAGTTGTTTTGAAGTTTGACCCTTGAAAGTTTATATACATAAGTAATGTAAGTAATGTTAACTGTTATGTTGTAGAGTTGTTGTAGATAACTTTTAGAATAATACAATGTAGTAGTAGCCACAACGAGTACGTATTATGGTACAGCTTGCTTCACTTACAACAGAGCAAGCAGTGTGAGTCACCAACATTTCCATTCTGATGTTTAACATTACTACAGAAAACTGATGACAGGAAAAAAAAGGTGTTAGAGTTATTGTCTGTCTGGTCTGGGCCTGTTCTGCTACACGGCATGATTTGTCTGTCCTTGCTCTCTCTCCTCTACTTAGCCCAACCCTGAGTGGACTGTCAACATTAACGTGCACTCTCTGGTATGACTACGACCAGTTTTCATTTGCCCTCTGCTCTATCACTACTCTTTACCATTGTACACACCTACTAAAGGAATGAAATGGCTTCCAGTTCTAAATATCTCAGCTTGATTTCATTTTTGTACTTTTCTGTTCAAAACATAAAAATGTAGTGTTGACATACAGATTTCCCTGCTTTAATTCAGCCACCTGATGAGTGATTAGCCCATGCTATTACCCATTTTTATTACTTCATGCACCATTATTAGATTTTGTTGTCATACCGTAGATCTCTTGCTGTTTTGCTCTGTTACAACTGCTGTTTTGCTGTTCATCCCATCTTGTTTCTGTAGGCTGGTTATGTTTTGTACCATAGTTTGTGTGTGTTAGATCTACATGTAGATGGTCTGTGGCCATGAAGGTATGGTCATGTTGTCTACGGGTATTTAACATCAGTATGAAACATACAAGTGTACAAATGTACACCGGGTTCACTTACTCAACTTCCAGACGATGGTCTTGCCTTGATTAGATTAGATCATGACAAAGACAAACTTGTCATGTGCTGACTTCAGTAATACCAGTACATGCTCTGATCAGAAAGGAAACCTTGTAGATTTTACATGACTGTTATCCAGTAATGCTTTGAAGTCATGATGTATTTGTATGAATGGATATTTTATTAAGATCAAATCGTATTTCCAAGTTGCTTTTAACAAAATCCATCAGGCATCTGACAGACAGTTTTCCTAGTTACTGTGGAGTAGTGAACTTCAATGACTTGTATATACATGTATGATTCTTCCATTGCTTGATTTGTCAATGCAGAAATCTTAAAAAAAAGTAATCCTTTTCCATCCAAGTTGCTTCCTCATAGCTCCATTATATATGTGCATATGTCTAGCCACTTCTATGTCCATAGTCAGGAATGTAATAGCCCAATAGGTACTTATGTGCTGTCTGATATGTATGACTGTGTTGCCTAACTGCTGCAGGTGAACAGTGGTACAGCTGAGGTGGACCTGAGAGTCCTGTTACCAGACAGAAGCACACTCACTGTCACCATCAGGAGAAACAACAACACAGACCAGGTCTACGACGTAAGTCTACTTATCGCCCTCATTTTTCCCTTATAGCAATGGATTGATGCAAAATCTCTCTCAAGCTCTCATATGCCACCAAAGGACATCAATCAAGAAGCTCATTAATTTGTATAACATACTTAACCATTGGTATCCAATCTATAATGTAATGGTTAACATGGAAGGTACTCTGCTCTTGAGGGTAAGCTTTCTTCACCTTGTGCTACAATTACATTTGCCTGTCAGTCCAGGCCTAAAGCTAGACTTCTATCTTTGCACTGCCCCCCACCCCCACTTGTTGTTCTATAGTTGGTACTACTGGTAATATTAATGGCTCTAAACTCCTCTGTTTCTACAGGCTGTAGTAGACAAACTGGGACTTGATGAGGAACTACTTCCCTACTTCGGACTGTTTGAAATTATGGACACAAACTTTGGTGAGTTATGTACGGAACAAAATCAGTCATCATTGCATAATGTTGTATGCACATAAGTATTTGGAAGGATGTGTCACAACGTTTGACTAACAATTTTGACCTATGTTTACATTGGTTCATGTTGCATCATGTGGCATAATAGTTGAAGGGTTCAGCTTGGAACCAAGAGGTCCCAGGTTCGATCTCCTGACATACACAATGTTGGAAAAGGCACTTTGCATGACTTCCCTCCCTGTACAGTGGAGTGATGCCCACCGGGCCTTTCAGCTAATCATTGATACAGTGTCCAAACACTGATGAGGACACAGACGGATTTGGTGTCGCCAGTGTGCTAAGATCTTCACATTTGCCTAAGAACCGTACGTTACTCTCCTGTGTTTTGTCTCCTGTAGAGAGAAAACTGGTGCCCACAGAGTTCCCCCATAACCTGTACATCCAGAACTACACAGCTGCAGCCTCCACCTGCATCGCTCTGCGTAAATGGCTCTTTGACCTGCAGAGAGAACTGCAGCTGTCGCACCTGGACATGGCCAACACCTTCTTCTACTGGCAGGTGGGTGTAGGTGGCACAAATAGTGCACAGACAGCAACAGGTACTATAAATCACTTTATATTTGCAGTAGCAAAATTTTGCAGTCTCAGAAAAATGTTCACAGTGGAGGCAGGTGCAGAAAAAAGAAAGTCGGCAAATATTTTCTTCACAGGATAGATAATTTGCGGTACAGAGTGACCACAGAAACAGCTGATATAAAAGTACAGCAAGTATAAAGTGATTTACAGTATTTGCCAAGTCCAAGTACATCAATTACTGCAGTAATGATAGATACATACATATATCTGCAATTTACTCACACCAATCAGTGAAGTTGAATTTATTGGCCTTTAACTTGCCTGTATGATTTACCAGGTAAAGTTTGATACATAAACTTTTGTGGAAACATAACACCTTGATGTCTTGGTTTCTAGGTCAATCTGCTTTACCTTACCTTTGACGTATAATGTGGAGTACAGCCATGACAGGATTCGGCTCGTTTAGCTCCATGTCAAACACCTTCCCATCTCACAGTTAAGCAGGGTTGAAGATATGATTCCAGGAGAAGTCATAGGTCAATAGAAGTCCTGCCATAAGCGGCAGTTAGCAGTCAGTGACCCAGTCCTGGTGGTGGAGAGTAATGTCACCTGTCTGGACTGTGACAAGACAGATTTATCATGGACCAGTCTCTGGCCTGACCTCTGCACCTACAGATAGAGTGAAGATATATCAGCAGGACTTTTGGCCACATCACACACTTACAGATGTGGCCCATGGGGCACAGTTTGACAGGCTGGTTAGGAGCATGCATGTGGAACGTGGGTGATTGTATAATATGTCAAGCTTCGATCTCGTGTAGATCCATGTTCTGTCATCCTGCAACATCACATCTGTCTTTCTGTCATCTCAAGTTAGAGGAAAATGAAACACTGCATAAACCAAATCAGATTTTGCCAATTTGTACAGTGTTTTCAATCTAGTTTGCACAAATTGACTGCTGCATGGGAATGGGATTCAAATCATAACAGTTGTCTTTGAGGGGAATATGTCGTACCACAAGTATGTGTCTGTATTGTATACAGTTGTGTACGGAGATTTTGTTTTTTGCTGAGCTTGCTTGTTTGCTTGTGTGTCCATATTATTTGAATACAGTAGATAGAGTCACAGTAAGTAAGGGGAAATGGCATAACCTAAGACTGACAGGAAGGTCAAATTGGAAGTTAAAATTGTTTCCCATAGGCTGGAAATGAATGGTACAGTTTAGGAGCTCAGGAACCCAAGGATTGCTAGTACATCCAGCAAGAAATTCACAATAATGAATAAAACAATGCAGGAAAACTCAATTTCTTGTCAGATGACTAACAACAGTATTGTTTGTTACAGGCTATAGACGATGTTGGGAAGGGCAGAATCAGGCCGGGCGACCACATTTATGAACTCAAGTCTCTGCAGGACAGGGGCAAGAAACAAGAGGTACAAAAACAGCTTGTTGTTTCCAGGACATTATTCCAGCTTAATGGACTATAATCAGTGCTTTGTCTTCACTATGCAGCCAATTTTGGCTCTTTAATCTAATCTGATTCACTGTGGTGGCGCCACCATTTTGACACTATCAAATTTCCTTACAAAGTGATAAATCTTGATGATGAAAAGCTATTGAATTCTACTTCATCAGTTTCCATCCATCCTTCTTCCTTCCTTTCAGTATTTGAAGCTTGTGAGGAAGTGTGAAGGCTACAATGAGATTGCATTCCCCCACTGCCCCTGTGACTCCAGGAAAAAGGGCCATGTCATCGTGGCCCTGACCATAGAACACTTCACACTCACGGCATGTACAGAGGAGGGAGAACCAGAGGTAAGGTTACACTACTGCTTTGATGGGGAACAGAAACTATATTTACATGCATATGAACAAATAGGGAATTTGAGTAGCGGAAATTGTAGAGTTGCAGGTTGACAGATGTATCCCTGCAATCCATTTTAGACTGCAGCAATTGCTGATAATACAAGTACATGCAGTAGGAATATCACTATCAATGTTACCATTGCAAGCTGCTGAGATGTTCACATTTTGACAGTTACACATAGCAGTTTTCCCCAGTGATTTGTGCAAGTATGACTATGTGATTGGAGCTTGTCAAACCTTTGTCACACATGCCAACTCCAATTATTGCCTATCACACAGTGGCTTGTAACATGTCCGCTTCTGAATGTATCAGTTATATAGCTAGGAGTAGAGCATACTCATGTGATACATGTATCAGAGAAAAAATAGTACATAATTGGCCTTAATGTGCAGTGAAATGTATGTGCTTCCCATTCCAAATTTGAATACTGGAACCAATGTTCTCACAATTTTTTGTTTGAATACAGCAAATTTTCTCAACTTCTGGTGCATTTTGCATTGATACTTGTATTTTCATGGCTGGGTATATGGCATGAAAAGAATACAGCATAGTGTATTCTGCATCACCCTCGGTCCCAGCCCCCCTGTATGTTGTATCTCTATATTCCTTGCGTGTGTAGGCTTTCAAGCTTTTGGATTCAGGATTTGCCTCTCATGTGTTCCTGGACATGTTCACATCGGAACAAGTCTCGCAAGACAATTCTTTCGTATGATGCCCAATTGACATACAACCACTTCTATATAAGAGAAGAGCGTTACACTCCCATTAGTGTGTATATAGATATTGACAAAGTCTGTTGTATACAAGAAAAGTGCCAGGCTCTCCCATTCCTCTAATATGTTATACCTGTACAGAGCCAGGTGATCACGTTCAGCTGGGAGGAGATGACCCAGTGGGAGGTGGATGATGAGGGCATGGCCTTCTGTTTCCAGTACCAGCGAGGGGAGAAAAAACCACGCTGGGTCAGGATCTTCTCACCACATGTAAGCCACTCATTCATCTGTACCGTACATCCATTCATCACTGACAGGGGACTGGGAACTTTAGTCAATATTTCATGCAAAAGTTGTCTGCTAAATCTCAAACCTGTACTTTTAATCATGGAAGATAAGAGTTACATGTCTTTCTAGCAGCGCGGACATTTGCAACAAATGCAGAGTTGGGCTTAGTGTTTTGGGCCTGTTTTGCCCTTTGCCTTAACCCTAGAACAACCAGAAAGACAAACAAAACACTGCAAAACCATGCCTAAAACAATTATCCAGTCCTAGTCTAGTAGATCTTATCCTAGTCCAATATCCTTGAGAAGATCTATGTTGTTTGCTACCCATAGTACACCGTGCCTCCCATAATGCAATACGATCATTGACAAGGTTCGCATCATAAAGTACTGGTCTTTTCTTACTCCCCTCAGTTTGTGTACATGTATGACTGTTTCGAGAGGATCGTCCAGGAACTAGGTACAGTCACAGCAGCAAATGTGAGTTGGTTTTCATTATACTGTATACGTACAAGGTTTATGTGCTGATTCAAGCAAATTCAATGGCTTTTGTCAGCTTTTGTGGGATGCCCTTGTAAAGTAAAGTAGCCGTGTAGTATCATTTCTGAGGCCTGT